TGAAAACAGTCTGGAAAAAGACCGAGTTGGAACAATGAGTTGAGGCATACATGGCGGTACCACGGATTCATACTGTCCGTGGTACCACTGACATGGACTGTCCGTGTCACGTCGAGTCCGTGACGCGGGCTCCTTTGTCTCACGTCACACACACACACACACACACACACACACACACACACACACACACACACACACACACACACACACACACACACACACACACACACACACACACACACACACACACACACTCGGTAGGAATAGGAATCTGTACACCAGTTGATTGACAGTTGAGAGGCGGGACCAAAGAGCCAAAGCTCAACCCCCGCAAGCACAATTAGGTGAGTACGGTCGTACAGCTGAGTTGACAGCGCTTGGGGGTCGTAGCCCTATGGCCCGGGCTCGATTCCCGTCGGAGACGGAAACATATGGGCAGAATTTCTTTCACTCTGACGTTCCTGTTCACCTAGGAATAAATAGGTACATGGGAGTTATAGACTGCTTCCTGGGGATGTGTATGTGGGTATTAAAGAGAAATATGAGTAGTAAATATAAAGGAAGAAAAATAGATGGTTAGAAAAGCGGGGCCCAAGAGCTAATAGCTATATTCTGCAGATACAAATAGTAAATACACTCGCACATACACACACACACACTATATACCACAAGACTGGTCCCAGAAGTAAGAGGGTGAGCGAACAAGGAAAGACTGAGGGAACTGGATCTTCCTACACAATATAAGATACGGGAAAGAGGAGACATGATTGCAACATATACGATACTAAATGGGTGGTAGTGATAAAGTTGAAAAAGACGAACATTTTAGCAGGTGTAACAGCTGAACGAGAGGCCATGGGTGGAAACTGGAGTCACAGATGACCCCATAGGGATATAAGGTAAAGTTTATTTACCCATGAGTAAATGAAGTAGAGTTAGACAAATAAATATAATAAGTTAGATAAGTAGGTAGTTGAAGCTAATACCACATATAAATTTATATGTAGATATCATAAAAAATATAATATTCGTGTATCATCTCATTCGATGACCAACAGCTGAAAATGCGAGGCCCAAGAGCAAGCGTCCGGTCCATCAGAAGCACAATAGGATGAGTACAATCAGGTGAACACACTCACCTATATGGCTGGCGAAGAGAATAATACAATTAAGAACATGTTTATATACCCGTAACATAAGCCAGCACGCTCCCCTATATGCCCCGACATTATACACACCAGCCATGTTAAACACGGCTGAGAGTAAGTCGTGGTTGTTACCTGCCTAAGACATACTCCTCCCGAAGCTCATTAATATTATCACAAACACTATACATCACGCGAGCGACTCTCCAGCCTGTGTTCTTGTTGTTGTTTTAGATTCAGCTACTAAGAACAAAAAGATGCAAGTAGCACGGGCTATGGTGAGCCCGTAGTGGACTTAAAGGCACGGGAGCGGTGTTGTAACAAGTGGCATGGGCTATGGTGAGCCCGTAGTGGACTTAAAGGCACAGGAGCGGGGTTGTAACAAGTAGCACGGGCTATGGTGAGCCCGTAGTGGACTTAAAGGCACGGGAGCGGTGTTGTAACAAGTGGCATGGGCTATGGTGAGCCCGTAGTGGACTTAAAGGCACAGGAGCGGGGTTGTAACAAGTAGCACGGGCTATGGTGAGCCCGTAGTGGACTTACCTGGCACAGGAGCGGGGCTGTAACAAGTAGCACGGGCTATGGTGAGCCCGTAGTGAACTTAAAGGCACAGGAGCGGGGCTGTAACAGGTACTCAACGAGTCCAGCTTGCGAACTCGGGTTGTTTATCAGAGAGCCGCGAAGAGCCGCCTCGCTTAAAACAGCGTGGGGCTGAGCCAGGTCCGGCAGCTAACGCACCAGCCACCAGAGACAAGGTAAACACTATTTATGCGGGGCGTCGGGACCCCAGTATGGCCGAAGACCCGCGATACACACAGATCCCTGATATGCTAATGTTGATATAAATGAACAGTGATAGAGGACTTGCATATAATTTGATACGAAGTCAAGTTATCGTAGAGGAAGCGACTTATATAACCCAAGAGAGGGAGGGAAGGGGGCCTGAATGGAACACAGGAGTACGGTTTATACGCTAATGCAGCACCCTGTGATGAATACATGCGTAATTGATGAATAATGCAGCTGATACAGACGACTTTAAACATAACTATATGTTACCAGAGTAGATTCAGTAGAGACTGTACATATACTTTTAGTCTAATGAAACAATTGCAGGTGAAAATACAGACACACTGAAGGCTAATGTATGCATATACAATAAATACACATGAAGGACCAACTATGTATACAATTAATACACATGAAGGACCAACATTGAGGAACAAACACACGTCTTAAGAAGTAGTTGTAAGAACAATGACTTCTTACCAAACAGCCACACCACATAGCGTCTTAACAAACAATCACTCTACATAGCGTCTTATCAGACAACCACACATCTGACGTCTTAAATAGCCAGACAATAGATGTCTTAAGAAACAGTTCGTAATTATTCAACATGTCCACTGTTGAGTGACAACTGAAGGTGACAGGTATCGATTGATATCCGGTCATTAAACACCACCACCACCACCAACAGCACCAACACCACCACCAACACCACCACCAACACCACCACCAACAGCACCACCACCAACACCACCACCAACACCACCACCAACACCACCACCAACACCACCACCACCACCACCACCAACACCAACACCAACACCACCACCAACAGCACCACCAACACCACCACCAACAGCACCACCACCAACACCACCACCAACAGCACCACCAACACCACCACCAACAGCACCACCACCAACACCACCACCAACACCACCACCAACACCACCAACAACACCACCACCAACACCACCACCAACACCACCACCAACACCACCACCAACACCACCACCAACAGCACCAACAATACCAAACATACAAAGAAACCCAAGCACAAAAAACACGCAAAAACACACACAAAACTGCGACGATTCTTGTATACTTTCCTAACAAAATAAATATACATGAAAACTAAATAAATGAAGCAAGAATAGCGTGTTTGCAGGGCAAGACGTCATCAAGCACCCCATTTTCTGAACTATTACGTCTAATTTTGTCCGTAATGTCTAATACGTCTAATGTCCTTAACGTAGAAAATAAGGGGAATTATGAAAAGTAGCGGCTCACAGACATGAACGTTTTCTATGCGTATGCTGGATATGTTAGGTGGGTGGCTCGGGTTTGTGCGTTTTTCTGTATGTTCTTATTTTTGTACGTTGTGGCAAATCAAGAGGAGGGATGTTATCAAGAGGCATCACGACTGACAGATGCCTCTGTGTCTCCGATCCTGGCTGTCTCGCCTCCACACACACACCCTTACTCGCTTATCCGCTCCTCCTAGCTTATCCGGAGGCACTAAATTATTCGGAGCCACTACCCCTGCATATCTAGAGTACCTTGATTATCCGGATCTCTTTACATATCTAGAGTAAACTTTGCGTTTCTAGAGCACTTTGCTAATTTAGAGCACCTAGCTTATCTAGAACACATTGCTTCTCAGAGCACTCAGCCTATCAAGAGTACTTTGATAATCTAGAGCACCTTGATAATCTATATCACCTCGCTTATCTAGAGCATCTTGCTTATCTGCTTCAATATGCTTATCCAGAGAACTGCTGATCTGGAATTCCTAGCATATTCACAAAATTAAGAACTCGAAACTTACCTAGTATGCTTCACACGAGCATTATTCATAACCACAGTAACTTTATCATCCGAAGTACATTGTTTATCAGGAGTAGATTCGTTACATGGATGGCCACACTTATCCAAAGCCACTTATCCAAAGACACGCTTATCCAAAGCCACTTGTCTAATATACCTAAGGTTTCGAGTCAAATTCTTATCCGAATACGGTCATCAGAAGTACTCTCCTCATTCCAAAATTCCTTAATTTCGACAGCTCGATCCAGACAAAATCACTCAAAAGCATACACTAATTCGGTTACTTCTGTTAATGAGGACTTATCTGCTCCTTGGAGCCTCTGCCAAACCCTCATTATACAATTAAAGCAAATCACCGGAATACTTATTTCTTCGACGATGCAACTTCTCAAGCAAGTGATCATTTAGCCGAACTTCTAAACTGCGAGATAGATATCTAATTGTCAAACATGGAACAGACGGCGTATTTGGACATCTTGTTAGCGGGTATTCTCCGCTTATCGGAACTGTAAGCAGGAAAGGTTCTGTAATAAATGTTGGGGCCGGCTACAAGATAGATCCGATAGAGCAAATCATTCGCTTTAACGGTAAAGTATCTGAGCCGTTCAGTAGAAAATACGGTTTCTTATCTGAACCCTCCCGTAGTGGGTACGTTCTCTTGTGTGAACCCTCCCATAGTGGGTACGTTTTCTTGTGAGAACCCTTCCGTAGTGGGTACGTTCTCTTGTGTGAACCCTCCAGTAGTGGGTACGTTCTCTTGTGTGAACCCTCCCGTAGTGGGTACGTTCTCTTGTGTGAACCCTCCCGTAGTGGGTACGTTCTCTTGTGTGAACCCTCCCGTAGTGGGTACGTTCTCTTGTGTGAACCCTCCCGTAGTGGGTACGTTCTCTTGTGTGAACCCTCCCGTAGTGGGTACGTTCTCTTGTGTGAACCCTCCCGTAGTGGGTACGTTCTCTTGTGTGAACCCTCCCGTAGTGGGTACGTTCTCTTGTGTGAACCCTCCCGTAGTGGGTACGTTCTCTTGTGTGAACCCTCCCGTAGTGGGTACGTTCTCTTGTGTGAACCCTCCCGTAGTGGGTACGTTCCGTAAGTAACGGAGGACTGACATGGAAGAGATGGAAGGTAGAAATCGATTGGCTACTGAGGCAATAGTGTGTATGGAACAGGAGGAGGACAATATCTAGGTGATTATAAGAATTCGACCGTCTCAAGTTCCCATCGCTGTCAGCTGTAGGCCAAATGAGACTCCTATCAGGCCAAGAAGCTGGAGAACTATCAGGCCAAGAAGCTGGAGAACTATCAGGCCAAGAAGCTGGAGAACTATCAAGCCAAGAAGCTGGAGAACTATCAGGCCAAGAAGCTGGAGAACTATCAGGCCAAGAAGCTGGAGAACTATCAAGCCAAGAAGCTGGAGAACTAGCAAGCCAAGAAGCTGGAGAACTATCAGGCCAAGAAGCTGGAGAACTATCAGGCCAAGAAGCTGGAGAACTATCAGGCCAAGAAGCTGGAGAACTATCAGGCCAAGAAGCTGGAGAACTATCAGGCCAAGAAGCTGGAGAACTATCAGGCCAAGAAGCTGGAGAACTATCAGGCCAAGAAGCTGGAGAACTATCAGGCCAAGAAGCTGGAGAACTATCAGGCCAAGAAGCTGGAGAACTATCAGGCCAAGAAGCTGGAGAACTATCAGGCCAAGAAGCTGGAGAACTATCAGGCCAAGAAGCTGGAGAACTATCAGGCCAAGAAGCTGGAGAACTATCAGGCCAAGAAGCTGGAGAACTATCAGGCCAAGAAGCTGGAGAACTAGCAAGCCAAGAAGCTAGAGAACTATCAAGCCAAGAAGCTGGAGAACTAGCAAACCAAGAAGCTGGAGAACTATCAGGCCAAGAAGCTGGAGAACTATCAGGCCAAGAAGCTGGAGAACTATCAAGCCAAGAAGCTGGAGAACTATCAGGCCAAGAAGCTGGAGAACTATCAGGCCAAGAAGCTGGAGAACTACCAGACCAAGAAGCTGGAGAACTATCAGGCCAAGAAGCTGGAGAACTATCAGGCCAAGAAGCTGGAGAACTATCAAGCCAAGAAGCTGGAGAACTACCAGACCAAGAAGCTGGAGAACTATCAGGCCAAGAAGCTGGAGAACTATCAAGCCAAGAAGCTGGAGAACTACCAGACCAAGAAGCTGGAGAACTATCAGGCCAAGAAGCTGGAGAACTATCAGGCCAAGAAGCTGGAGAACTATCAAGCCAAGAAGCTGGAGAACTACCAGACCAAGAAGCTGGAGAACTACCAGACCAAGAAGCTGGAGAACTATCAGGCCAAGAAGCTGGAGAACTATCAAGCCAAGAAGCTGGAGAACTATCAGGCCAAGAAGCTGGAGAACTATCAGGCCAAGAAGCTGGAGAACTACCAGACCAAGAAGCTGGAGAGCTATCAGGCCAAGAAGCTGGAGAACTATCAGGCCAAGAAGCTGGAGAACTATCAGGCCAAGAAGCTGGAGAACTAGCAGCAGCAGGGGAATGGGGGGCAATAGTTTCCCCCTGACCTGGAGGCTTATATGGATGACCTATAGGCCTCCAAGTTAACGATGGGAGTGACCCCGCGGGGTGTGGTACGGCGAGGAATGTCGGGTGTGTGTGTTGGGGCCGTAGTGTGGGTGACCTGGCCTGGTGATAAGAGAAATAAGGTCACTTAGGCCACCACTACTTGATGCCATGTCCTCAGGGAGAACGGGCTTCTGCTTGTCTCTGTGGGTATTCGCCTTTCTTTGTACTCATATATTTGTACTTGCAGAATCGAGCTATTAGCTTTTGGACCCAGCCTTTCTAGCCAATCTATTTCTCCTCTATTATATCTACTACATATATTTCTCTCTAACACACGCACACACACACACACATCCCCAGAAAGCAGCCCGTAGAAGCTGTCTAACTCCCAGGTACCTATTTACTGCTAGGTGAAGAGATACATCAGGGTGAAAGAAACTTTGCCCGTTTGTTTACCGTAGGGAATCGAACCCGGGGCCCTTAGGACTACGACCCCCAAGCGCTGTTCACAGCCTCGAGGCCATGAGGTGTGTGTGTACTTACCTAGTTGTTTTTACCTAGTTATGCTTGCGGGGGTTAAGCTCTGGCTCTTTGGTCCCGCCTCTCAACTGACAATCAACTAACGTACAGACTCCTGAGCCTACTGGACTCTATCATATCTACATTTGAAACTGTGTATGGAGTCAGCCTCCACCACATCACTGCCTAATGCATTCCACCTGTTAACTACTCTGACACTAAAAAAGTTTTTTCTAACGTCCCTGTGGCTCATGTGGGTACTCAGTTTTCACCTGTGTCCCCTTGTCCGCGATCCACCCGTGTTAAACAATTTATGTTTATCTACTCTGTCGATTCCTTTTAGAATTTTGTAGGTAGTGATTATGTTTTTCCGAGATCTCCTGTCTTCCAGCGACGTGAAGTGCATTCCACGCAGCCTTTCCTCGTAACTCATGCCTCTTAGTTCTGGGACTAGTCTAGTGGCACGCCTCTGAACGTTTTCCAATTTAGTCCTGTGTTTGACAAGGTGCTGTTATCGTGAGTAATAACACGAAGTGAATGAAATGTTATTATTCGCAATATGGTGGTTACCTTAAGATGATTTCGGGGCTTAGCGTCTCCGCGGCCCGGTTTCCTTTCTGTTACACGCTTCCAGGAAGCAGTCCGTAACAGCTGTCTAACTCCCAGGTACCTATTTACTGCTAGGTGAATAGGGGCATCAGGGAGAAATAAACTCCGCAGATTTGTTTCAACCTCTATCGGGGTTTCAGCCCGGAACATCAGGACTACGAATCCGAAGCGTTGTTCACTCAGCTGTCAGGCCTCTGTCAGCTGGTTGGGTATATATATATATATATATATATATATATATATATATGAAATGGTTAACCTTTCTGCACGTTTGTGATAATATTTATCACAATAGAATATATTTTGATGTACTTATCAAGAAATATTATCACAGACGTGCCGAAATATATACCAATATGACAGCTAGAACTCTAGTCAACAACAGTTAATTTTAATTTTAATTTTTGTATTTATTAATCAGACAATTTCTATCACTTCATTAAAATCTAGAATAATGTGAGAAGGAACGAAAATATAACAAGACACTTAAGCAATACCCAATTTCCGTAAAATATTTCAGACCGAACTGAAGGAACAACGCAGAAAGCAGTTTTACAACTCTTAACATTAGAGGGAATTAGATCCATGGAAGTATAAACTTCAACAGTGATTACGACGAGAGAAAAACAGCCTTTCTCAAGGTGGTGGCTACAATAGACCCGAGTGAGAAATATCTGCGCTGAGGGGGAACAGGTAGTGAGAGGAATACAGACATTAAACTCCCGTGTATCTAATCTCCCTCATTATTCCCCGAGCAGGCCCGGGCCGGAGTATAAATCCCGGCGCGTCTCCCATTCAAAGTAAAACTGTAGAAATAAACGAGGTGGCCGAGCCAAGATGTAGCGAGGGCAGGTAAGGCCACGACACATACGACCGATAGACGGAGCGATAGTCGAGGTGGTCATGGTGGTGGGTAGGGGAAGGGAGGAGAGCCCCTTGGCCTGCAGGGTGGAAGGCAGGGTGGGCGGCAGGGTGGAGGCAGGGTGGGAGGCAGGGTGGGAGGCAGGTTGGAAGGCAGGGAGAAATGGCAGGGTGGGAAGCAGGGTGGGCGGCAGGGTGGCTTCGGGTGGGCGGTAGAATGGGAGGAAGGGAGAGAGGCAGGATGGGAAGCAGGTTGGGCGGCAGGGTGGCAAGCAGGGTGGGCGCCAGGGTGGGAGGCAGCGAGAAATGGTAGGGTGGGAGGCAGGGCTAAGCATGGGGAAGGAGTCAGTGAGGGAGGTACTATGAAGTTTGGGAGGGGTTGAAGGAGAGAGAAAAGTAGAACAAACAGAACGTAAGTTCGATTTGGAAGAGCGGACATTGATAAGCCAGATGGGAGAGGAGGCAGAGTAGGCCAAGGTTGGGAGGGAAAGATGGACACAGGGCCGGACAAGACACATAAGGAGAGAGCGGAAGCTACAATAAACCACATAAGCTCACCAGCAAGCAGACAGAGTAACCTATCATCTAACAAACCTAAGCGTCAAACAACACATCTAACAAACCTATCTAACCTTTGCGTCTAACAAGCCGCACTGTACCGGAAACGACCAATTCGCTAAAAAAGCGACGAATCAGTAAAAATTAACGTACCGTAATATTGACGTGTTCATTGCAACGGTGTCAATAGGTCAGATAAGTTTTCTTGGTTTCGTATGAAAATCAAATGCAAAGAAGAACGTTTACCAGGATATTTACTTCATCATTAACACAGACTCGCCAATATTCCAGAATTTTCATGGGTATTTCTTGAGCCGCCTCTCGATAAAGGCAAAATAATCGAATGGAGAACAGGTAATTATGCAGATAGGAAAGATATGAAGGATTTATACATGATAATAATTCAAGCAATATAGAGAGTCGTCGGTACAAAAGTACAAATAACTCAATTTTTACAAGCCCCTCCTCACAGTCAGCAGTTCCCTCTCTTAATCCAGTAAACTCCCTCTTCCTTCATCAGACCACCCCATCCACTTACTCCAAGTCTCATCCTTCTCTCATCACCCACCTTCTCCGTAATCCACAATCCTCTTCTACGATAATCCCCTCCCTCTCTCTTTCTGTCTGTCTGTCTGTCTGTCTGTCTGTCTGTCTGTCTGTCTGTCTCTCTCTCTCTCTCTCTCTCTCTCTCTCTCTCTCTCTCTCTCTCTCTCTCTCTCTCTCCGCTGTCCCTCCTCTTCTTGCCACATATGTTTATTTTCTATGCCACCCTCCCACCAATCCTGCCCCGTCTCACCTTGCATTCCAGAGACAGGCTCCGTCCTGCCTCCAGGAGACAGCAGTACACTCCTCTTTTTGTTCAAAACGAGTTGTGTTCTGCATTTGGATTTCAAAGTCAATTATAAAAAGATGCGTAAAGTTTCCTTGCTGTTATTTGATTTGTTCTTAAAAATATTAGCAGTGCCTTCAGGAATTACAAGACTAATCAGCGAAATTATTAAATATTGGCACTAATTTAATTATTTATCTGTTTTTTCAGCGGTAAGATCAGCGATCGAGTTTGGTATAAGACAGGTCGCCCCTTCTAACAGAAAATCTCTACTTGATTTTCTGAACGAGTTAGCTTAGTTTAAACCAGTTATGAAATGATTAGATTAGCATATTACAGGATATTATGAACTGCAATGAACATTTGCAGTGATTGCGTCATTTACTTGGACTGCGGTGTCTATAGTGATTGTGGCGTTTACTTAGATTGCGACGTTCACAATAATGCATGAATTTAGTTTCACTTAAGTACTTCTAGAGTTACAACTCCAAGATGTTTAAACCAGAGTTCTCAAATATGACGGATCTCAAACGTCTCCCGTCGAACTCTGTTTTTGTGGCGCTATTCATTCTCCCGTTATAATATCTGATTATTATTATTAACATCTTTATTAACAAAATTAATTACAATTTTGCCTAATCTGAGGATTTTGATAGTCTTATTAAAGTGAGGATAATGCTGGTATTCACTGTCACGCAGGACAGAGGGTCATACACAAGACAATAGGTCTAAACTGTAGGCTGAAGCACATATATATCATGGTTACAATAATATCTGATCAGTGTTGTGACAAGAGGAAGAACTCTGCCTGGTCACGGCCGCCACCGTTAACGAGAATAATAATACCTGAGGTTATCGTCGCTATCAAGGCCCCGTAACCTCTGCGCTTGACGATTGAAATTAATGGCTAAGTGACAAATTGATGTTAGGAAGCTGGTGGCGAATTACGAAAGATGTTCGATCTTCAAGGACTCGAAGGAAGGTCTTGTAACCTTCTTGAAGGACTGTAACACCGTTCCAGGTTCCTTTGTTTCATTTAAAACATTAATTTCCATATAATTTACCATATATGTTTGTAATTTACAGTATAAGAAAATGTACTTCTGAGCTTCAAGTCGTGTCCACATCTGTCAAAAATATTCAGCGAGTGTTTGTAAGAATTTCGTGTACCGACAAGTTAAGATTGACAACTTAGTATACGATATGAGGTCGTGAAGTGACACTGATTACAGTGTATATAAGTGTTTACACTGTATAAGAAACTGGGTCCAAACATAAACAAGTAATTTTCCATATATTAAAAAGTTCCCTTTTCTACAAGATACTTTTTTTTCGTTAAGATACGTATAGTACCTCACACAATATTCCTTTCCCACTCAGTATTCTCTCCGCGCGATATTCCCTCCTTCACACCCACACACTTAAAGCTAGTAAAGCGCTCAGTGCACAAAAGCAAGTTATTTTCACATATCCATACATTAAAACATTGATTGTAACCATGATATATATGTACGTCCGCCCACAGTTTAGACCTATTGTCTTATGTATGACCCTCTGTCCTGCGTGACAGTGAATACCAGCATTATCCTCACTTTAATAAGACTTAATCGAAATCCTCAGAT